CGGTTGTTGTGCGCATATTGCATCTACAATGTGGTACCTTGGGTACAGCAGGTGGGAACTAGAGACACCAAGCTCGTGTAAATATTCAGATTCAATTTTGAATGCAAAAGATGTGCCACTTGAAACAGATTCAGATTCTGATAGTGACGGTTTCATTGAGGAGTGACTCTCTTTCACATATATTTATTGACAGAGGTTAAGATGCAAATACATTGATATACTAGTAGTGGTTTATTTATTTTAAAAGGAGGGGTGGGTTTTTTAATTTTTGTCTAAACAAACTATTTTGCGGACTTCAGCATACGATTATTGTTCTTGTCTCGCGAAATTCTATTTACAATGTAGCTTTTAATGTTAAATACGTTTTTTTCTCGCTGATGGCACATACTTTAACACATATACTGTTAATTATTTGCTCTCTAATTAAGGATAAGAATATGTTTGCACACATTTTTTGGTCACATGGCAGAGGTTCGATCCATGTGAGTTTAGTCATAGCTTAGGTTCCAGTCTGGTGCATTGTACATATCAATGTTTGATCTTTTTACTCTCACTGAACATACTCTACATAAAACAGTATAGAAATATAAATAATGAATGACAATTATATTGAAATAAAAAATCGTTGGTGCACATTGTCAGCAAATGTGGTTAAGGTTTTCCTAGTTGGAACTGATTGATTTGTGATGTTATGTATCTTTTGGTCACTTTGGAGATTAAACATTTTGTGTGGTACACGAGTATTACTGTATGGAATGTGGTTGATATATAATTATGCACTATGATAGGTTTATCTAATTACCTTAACTTTTAATATTGACATCCTTCAGTTTAGATTCAGACTCTTAGTCTTGTCTTTTAGCTTTTTTCACAGATTTTCACTAATGGCGTGTATGCTGTTGTCCATATCAGACTATATATTTTTAAGATGCTATTTACCCTTTTTTGCGTAATATATACTAAACCTAGTAAGCTATACATGTTTGGATGTGTTTTACTCTTTAGTCGGGTTGTTGTCTCTTTGACACATTCCCCATTTCCATTCTCAATTTTATTTTTATGATATATATATAGGGGGAAGCTTTATTCATCCAGTTGAACTCCTTATATAGAATGATTCTCATTGGTTCGACGAACATTCACAGAATATTGTGTAATTTTATATATTTGTCAAAGAAAACTGCCTGTTATTTCATTAGGTTCATTGTTTATATAATTGTTGTTTGATCATAGAATAAAACAATAGTTCAAGTTATGAATTCTGTTTTCTAACGTAACTGCTATGGGGCAAGGGTTTATCATAATGCTTATGATGTCATGATGAGTAACTTTGCATGAAGGTCATTATAATTTCGATTTTTGGTAAAAACTTTGTCGTAAGTCCATTTTTTTGTTGGGTTGGGGGTGGGGGGGGGGGGGGGGGGGGGTGTTTTCTTCAAGTGAACACCAAGCTTCTTCTATCCATAGTCGGATAGAGATACATCTACAAAAGATCAATATCGTAGATGTCAAAATACCATCAGAAAAGTACAATATCAACGTAAATCATATATAAAAAGGTCGTTGCTATGCAGTGGGTACGGTTGCTAGGTAGTTTCTAAGCATAAAAAAGCTAACAAATTGTAAGATATTTACAATTGTCATTTAATCACCTAACAATAGAAACATAGCTTTGGTAACACATTATTGATTGCATAAACCTTGAAGAGATATCAAAGTCTGTGGTGCTTAGTAATACAGTATTGTTGCTAAGGGTCATTCTGGCGGTTATGATGCTGATAAATACTCGTTTAAATAATTTAGATAAAAAAGACATTGTTGTTTGAGATTTCCATATAAGTATTATACAATGAAACATTTTGATTCATATAGAAAAGACAAATTTTTTGATAAATAAGGTTTAAAATAGCATATAATTAGCAGGTTTTAAATCTGTTGCTAGGCAACCAAAAAATGATGATAACAACAAAAAATTGTCATTTTTTTAAGCTTCTATGCCTAGTCTATTGAAATTATAAAATTCAATTGATTTGAAGAGGGGGCCAAAAATGGCCCTTATTGTACCTTGTCCTTTATGCAATACGTAAATTCAATCCAGTTTTGAAGTGAAATAAAATAGCTGACATGTGATTTTATTTTTCCCTAATGCACATTTACCAGAACTTTTCAATCAAACCAAATTTTACCTTCTATTTCAAAATATTCCAGTTTTAGTATATTTTGAAATTGTTTAAAAATTTTGATGAAATTTAAAAAATTTCTCGCTTTGAGTCTAATTTTTCTTGAAAAAAAAGCACAATAACTTTTGTTTTACTTTTTATGGCCCTGCAACAAAAGTTGTTGGACCATATATAGTTTTACCCTTATCCGTCATTATGTCATTCTGCAACGAACAGGTATACAGACTTGTTTTCTAAATGCCTTCACATATTGAGCTGAATTTTAGTATGTGAGTCTACTATGATGAGTTTCAGATAAAGTTTACGTTTGGTCAGTAGCTCCGCTGATTTTTTGCCAAAATTATGGGCTTTGGACTGAAAATTTCATGAAAATAGCAGTTATACAGACTTTTTTTCTGAATACCTTCACATATTGAGCTGATTTTTAGTATGTGAGTCTACCATGATGAGTTACAGATTGAGTTTAGTTTGGTTCTGCTCCATTGATTTTTAGTCCCCTACCGATGAAGTCGAAGGGGACTTTAGGTTTGCACTCCGTCCGTCTGTCTGTCCATCCGTCAATCCGGCAAATCAGTTTTCCACACTCTTTTTCTTCGTGCTTGAAGATATTGATTTCATATTTGATATATTGTTTTATCATGATAAATTACAGATGGAGTTCGAATTTTGTTCCGGGATGACAATTTTATGCAGAGTTATGGTCCTTGAACTTAGAAAATTCACTCAAATAATCAGTTTTCCACACTTTTTTTGTCATGCTTGAAGATATTGTGATTGGTATATAGTTTTATCATGACAAGTTACAGATCAAGTTAGAATTTTGGTCCGGTCTGATGATTTTGTGCAGAGTTATGGTCCTTGGACTTAGAAAATTCACTCAAATAATTAGTTTTCCTCACATTTTTTTCGTCATGCTTGAAGAACTTGATTTGATAATTGGTATATAGTTTTATCATGACAAGTTACAGATCAAGTTCGAATTTTGTTCCTGTCTGATGATTTTGTGCAGAGTTATGGTCCTTGGACTTAGAAAATTCAATCAAATAATCAATTTTCCACATTTTTTTGATGTTTGAAGATATGGACTTGATATTTGATAAATAGTTTACACCATGACAATTTATAGATCAAGTTAGCATTTTGTTCCAGTACAAAGAATTTTTAACTGGTAGGGGACTATGTATTGCCAGACAATACTCACAGAATGCTTGTTGCATAAATATTAGGCATTTGAATTTGAAAATTTGGTGAAAATAATAGTTATACAGACTTTCATTCTCAAATTTCACTTCTAAAGCTTTTTTTGCGAACTATGCCATTTGTGTCGTTCCAACACATCTAGTTTAATTTCTAAAATCTCCTTTTGGTTTCTAAAATATCTTTTTTTTTAAATGACAATACAGTGTGAAACAGTATCAATCCCCCTAAGCAAAACAAGGTAAATTTTAAAATCAGATGGCAGGTCAGGTCCATCCGATTAAACTGCAATTTTGGACATTATTGCTTATAGATAGATAAAAATCAATTATAATATCATTGCTTACTGTATATAAAAATAAAACGCAATGATAAAATCATTGCTTATATATAGATAGGCTTATATATATCAAATGCATAAACACAGGTTTCACACTACTTCAGAATCATAGTGAGAAGTGACTTCCCTTTTTTGAAACTGAACTTTGAATGTTTTGCATAGTTTACATGTTAAAGTATTGCCATTTTGATTTTAACATTTGCAATTAATGCAATCAAAACCATTTTGTGACTGGCTTGATAGTTTCCAGACCTTGACTCTCGGTCATAAAACTTTACTCAGTACTCAGAGTACAAAATTTGTGCTCGAAACACCAAATCCAGGATTTTGATCGGTTGATTTCCGAGTCTGAGTACGAAAATCGTGCTCAAAAGTTTTATGACCGCAAGGCCAGACCTTATCACTCCTTAGGAGATAAAAATAACAACATGGAGTACAACATTCTATACATTCTATCCCCATACGAAATGATGCCTTGTCAAGAAAATTACATAAGCTGTGCTTGGTGCATATATTTATTTGTTCTAAAAATCACTGATGTCACTGATAAAATGATATAAAATTTGAATTATCTTCATTTGTCCATAATTGTAGCTACAATTAGACAAAGGAAGATATCTCCAATTCATAGTATTGCCTTCCGATGCAATGCTTAATTTCTAGTTCCCACTGCAAAATGAATGCAATCTTTACACTGCAATGCTATTAAACCAGCACTTTGAATTAAAGGATTTCTGTAATTTATATACTGATTAACTTTTTATTCAAGATTTATTGTCAAAATGTTTTATGTTATTCAAATAAGTTGTCAAAGCAGCTTTTTAATTGACTGTCTTTCTTTTATTTTTCACACTTGTTGCTCATACCCACCATCTTTGGACTGATATTTTTTTTTTAAATTTGAATTATCTTCCTTTGTCCATAATTGTAGCTACAATTAGACAGAGGAAGATATCTCCAGTTCATAGTATTGCCTTCCAATGCAATGTTTAATTTCTAGTTTCCACTGGAAAATGAATGCAATCTTTACACTGCAGTGCTAACCAGCACTTTGAGTTAAAGGATTTCTATAATTTATACAATGATTAACTTTTTATTTAAGATTTATTGTCAAAATGTTTTATTTTATTCAAATTAGTTGTCAAAGCAGCTTGTTAATTGTCTGTCTTCATCTTGTTGCTCACACCCACCATCTGTGGACTGATATAGAAATGACAAAGTACATTGGTCTGTATTGCATGTCTGTCTTATGATTATTACAACTGGACTTGCTTTATTTTCAGCTTTGCTTTGATTTACTTGTACACGTTAAGGCCAAGCTATCCACACGTCAACAAAAAATTCCAGCTTCCGCTCCATATAGCTTGTCACTTTGGACATGTAGATGCATTTAGATACCTTTTGAAAAAAGAAGTATGTATACATGATAAAAAAATGTTCATAAATCAAATATCAAATGTTAAATGTTTCTCTTAGCTTATTATAATGGTGTATGGAATTCCTACATTTGATAAAATATATCTTCCTCGAAAGCAACAAAATAAATTGAATAGATATTTCAGTGAATGGGTGTTGTTTTAGAACAAAATTTTTATTATTAGGAAATGGGTAGTTTAAAGGTAAAAATTATTTTGCACATGATGATGAGAAATATCACTTTTTCAATATAAGATTTAATTGAAATTGAATGGAATGATAGGAAAAATAGTATGAAAACTTAGAATTAAAATAACATAAATGGAATCTAACAAATGAAATAAGTTGCATTTATAGCTGTTTCTAAAAGTACCGAAATGAAATTTATTTGAGAAAAGTAAACTTTGAAAGATGATCTTTCAGTGAATTTTGAATATATTTATGCTTAATGTATGTGTGATTGTGACAGGTGCTATGATATTTTGTTGCTTTTCTCCCCTTCAATGTATATCTATTTGCTTGTTTACATGATATTGAGGGAGAAATCTGTTTGCGTCACAACTAATTTACACCACTAGGTTATAAAATATATAGTACATGTACCAATTTTACAAAAAATTTAGCACACAATTACCCTTATCTGTAGATAAAATTCATTTTTATACGCCCGTCAAAATTTCATGAAACTTAACATAGTTGTTTCTGATGATGGTCAAACGATCTGTATACTTTTTGGTGAAAATAAGATTGAAACTTTTTGAGTTACAGGACTTAGTAACTAAAACAGGTGTTTGTTTTTTTTCACATGTCGCGCCGTATCTCAAAAACAATTTATGATTATTGCTTAAAACTTTACACACTTCTTAGTTATATTAATCTTAAGATCTGTATACTTTTTGGTGATGATTCAAAATTTTATTTTAGAGATATTGAGTAGTTTGTTAAAAAAGGGGGAGGGGTTTTTCACATATCCCGCCGTATCTCAAAAACAGTTTATGATTATTGCTTAGAACTTTAAACACTTCTTATTTATATTAATCTTAAGATCTGTATACTTTTTGGTGATGATTCAATATTTTATTTTTGAGTTATTGAGTATTTTGTAAAAAAAGTGGAGGGGTTTTTCTTATGTCGCGCTGTATCTCAAAAACGATTTATGATTATTGCTTAAAATTTTACACACTTCTTAGTTATATTAATCTAAAGATCTGTATACTTTTTGGTTTTCATTCAAAATTTTATTTTGAGATATTGATTTTTTTTTTTTAAAAAGGGGGGTTTTCACATGTCGCGCCATATCTCAAAAACGACTTATGATTATTGTTAAAATTTTACACACTTCTTAGTTATATTAATCTAAAGATCTGTTACAGTATACTTTTTGGTTTTGATTCAAAATTTTATTTTAGAGATATTGAGTTTTTTGTAAAAAAAAGGGGGTTTTCGCAGGTCAGGCTGTATGTCAGAAACTATTTATGATTATTGCATAAAAATTCACACATAAGACGACAGGCGTATTATGCGCTCATGGCGCAGCTGTTTATTTATTTTACACTACAATTGAAAGCTGTTTTTGGAGAAAATACCAAAAGTAGAAATGAAAACAAGTAACGACACCACTTGAATATACTATTAGCAAATTATAGGTGTCGTAACGAGTGAGAAATGGATATCAAGCGATATCCAATTCTCACGAGTTGTTAAACCAATTTCCTTTATGGTCAACACTCTCATTGTATTAAATTAAAAAATTCAACGAATCTTTGATCTAGTCTTTTGCACATACTAGTATGATAGCATATGTCCTATTACAGTGTCAAACTTTAACATCAGACATTTTGAAACTTTTCTTACGCCTCGGAATGTAATAAAACTTGACAAAAAGAGTGTTATGTATATTATTAAAGGAATCACATATTTCCATTTCCATGCACGAAATGTACATCGTCTTAACCTTTGAAAGTAATCAATGACGTAACGAATAGCCAATGAAAATGTTGTAATTACGTCTTATGATGCTGGATTTTCCTATCTCTTTTTTGTATCACTCTCCATGCAGTGTGATACGAGAAATATCTCTTCATGCAGGAAATTGAGAACAGACCACAACCAGAAGAGAATAAATCTTCTGCATCCCAACAAAAAAGTTTCAAAGAATCTCAAATTCAACAATTATAATTATACTTTCAATAGATTAAATAAAACGAAATTGTTAATACTACAAGTTCTTGTATTTTTCTGAAATTCTTTTTAGTATTTTCCTTTTACCTGGATACAACACCACCTTATAAATATCCACTCTTCTGTATGCAGCAATAATTCAATTTATTCCTTAAAGAATTGTATTTTAGGTATTGTCCATTTGACTTCAATATATTTGCCAAATTTTTTTTTAAAATCCATATTTTTGAATCAACATTTTTTATTGATGTATGTTAATATATAGTATATACGAACTCTGACTATTGATTTCAAAATTTTTGGTCTGTAATTAAATAAGTTACCCATTAGGTCTCTATGTTATTTTATTTTTTGAAGTGTTAAGTACTTGATGGAGTAAGTATATGTGTTTTTGTAGAAATATTTATGATAGTCCATTGATATACATATTCTGTTGCATTTGGATGCACGTCTTTAACATGGTTTGGTTTACAGGACATTCAGTCCAATTAACATTCAGTATTTACTGGGCCAAACAAAATTCTACGGGACCACCAATAAAGCAACTGAACTCTACAAACATTTTATTTTACATTTGGTCCAGTAATAAAATTAACGATACTAAAATCTAAAGATGTTTACCTGTTTTGTCCATTGAATATGAAGATTACAATATTAAAATGTTTAAGGAATATATAATGCTTTCTCCTCAATAATTTTTCAATGAATTGCCAATTTCTACAGTTTTTCTTGTGAAAGTTTTCTGATTAGATGTGTTGTGCCTGTGACAAAAAAATTCAAACAAATCTTTGGTTGGGGGGTGGGTGGGGAATATTTTAACACTGTTAGCATTACTATTCCATTCCAAATTTTAAGAACAAATCTGTATTTATACATACGGTGCATTCTATTATAAAAACAGGATATCAGATTTGATGAGAACTTTTTTGAAGTTTTATTTGCTACCTGTGATAATATTTTTTATGGTGTTGTATTATGAAGCGGCATTTCTTTTCTTGTGTTTTGATTTTTAAATAGGTCTTATTATTATTTTTTTTTAAAACAACAAATGAAGATAAATCACTGAGAAAGTTTCCTGTTTTTGTAGAATTCCTTTGAATTTAAAATGTAATTTTTAGAAAAGTGATCTGAAACAAGCTGATGCTGATGGAAACAACGTTTTACACATTGCTGCCAGAGAGGGACACCAGGGATTATGTTGGGATATCCTGAAAACTTCATGCGGTCAAGTCATACATGCTGAAAACAATGATGGCTATACACCAGCAGATCTGGCATCTCAAAGGGACAAGTATGGGTTAGTATGTCAAAGTTAAAACATTTAAAATGGATTCTAAAAGCTTTTATTGATTGATGTTTAATGCCACTTTCAGCACTGTTGGCTATTTCGTGGCAGCCAGTTTTTATTGGTGGAGGAAGCCAGAGAAAAATACCTATCTTTGAAAAACTGACAATCCAAGTCAATTAAGATTGGAGTCAAGCGCACCTTCCACATTCTGAACTCAACCTCACAAGGCAGGCTAGTGATACAGTATTTGAACTACTTTAACCACTAGGCCACTGAGGACCCCAAAAAAGTAGAAAGATTTGCACTCAGCAGATTGTATTGGGGATAAGATCAAGGGCATAGAAATTCAAAATATGGTGTGGAGAATTTATATAATTCTTCATCTTCATCAAAGTGTTCTTGGTTTCTATGAACAGGAGTGATTTAATATTTGGATGAAGCTTTATAAGCCAGTAAGCAATATTTACATCTGCCATGTATCCACTTCCTGACAGTTTGAAATTTTACAACAGTCATTGTACAAGGAAAGGTGTCGTCAAAGTTTTCTCTGCTCCTATTGAAAGGAATGATTTAATATTTGGTCTGCAGCTTGATAATGTTGAGTTGTACCGAGTAAGTTATTTTCACATCTGCCATGTATCCACTTCCTGTTTGCCAATAGTTAAATTTTACAACACTCATTGTACAAGGAAAGTTTTGTCAAAGTTTTCTTGGCTCCTATTGAATGCATTAACTTAATATTTGGTCTGCAGCTTAATAATGTTAACTTGTAGCGAGTAAGTTATTTTTACATCTGCTGTTTAGCCACTACCTGTTCCTGTCGATAGTTTGAAGTTTGAAACATGCATTGTACATGGAAAATTTTTGTCAAATTTTAATTGGCTTTTGTGAAAGGTAATGATCAGTTTTGCTCCAGTATTCTGTGTGGCCTCAATCAATTAAATGCAGCAGTGCAGGTCCAGACCCAATATTGGTCTTGTTTTCTTATAGGCTTAATTGACACTTTTTTGTGTTTGGTCAAAAACTATAGAAGATAGAGAGAAACTGTAAACAGAAAAAAAAATGATCAGCAATACACATTCCTTACAAAAAAAAGGTTTTAGTCATGAATAATATTCTAGTCTTAAATGTTGGAGAGTGTCCATTGATGAAGATGCACATATACCTAAAGCCTCTAGTTACTGTTTTTGTCTTGCCTGTGACGAAAGTCACGGAAAGTGAGACATAGGGATTGCTTTTCCGGCGATGTCAATGATTGCTCCTGATCCGGCGTCAACAAATAATAAGTTTTCTGCTAAAGTTAGTTTGATAGGAAATACTTGTGATAGATCATTGATATTTACTATGAAGTTGCATTACTATCAGTACATATCAGTTTGACAACTATTTTGAGGCCCTGCCCCCTAAGTCATGGTCCAGTGACTTTGAATCAATAAGCAATTTTCAATGTTCAGTTTTTCTGTTTAAGTCAGCTTGATAAGATCTACTTGAGATAGATCAATGATATTTTTTATGATGTTGCATTACTATCAGTACATATCAGTTTGACAACTATTTTGATGCCCAGACCCCTAGGACATGGTCCGGTGACTTTGAATTAATTAGCTATTTTCAATGTTAAGTTTTCTGCTTAAGTTAGTTTGATAAGATCTACTTGTGATAGATCAATGATATTTTGTATGAAGTTGCATTACTATCAGTACACATCAGTTTGACGACTATTTTGAGGCCCTGACCCCTAGGACATGGTCCAATGACTTTGAATTAATTAGCAATTTTCAATGTTAAGTTTTCTGCTTAAGTTAGTTTGATAAGATCTACTTGTGATAGATCAATGATATTTTGTATGAAGTTGCATTACTATCAGTACACATCAGTTTGACGACTATTTTGAGGCCCTGACCCCTAGGACATGGTCCAATGACTTTGAATTAATTAGCAATTTTCAATGTTAAGTTTTCTGCTTAAGTTAGTTTGATAGGATTTACTTGTGATAGATCAATGATATTTTGTATGAAGTTGCATTACTATCAGTACATATCAGTTTGACGACTAATTTGAGGCCCTGACCCCTAGGACATGGTCCAGTGACTTTGAATTAATTAGCAATTTTCAATGTTCAGTTTTTCTGTTAAGTCAGCTTGATAAGAATTACTTGTGATAGATCACTGATATTGTTTATGAAGTTGCATTCCTATCAGTACATATCAGTTTGACAACTATTTTGAGGCCCTGACCCCTAGGACATGGTCCAATGACTTTGAATTAATTAGCAATTTTCAATGTTAAGTTTTCTGCTTAAGTTAGTTTGATAGGATTTACTTGTGATAGATCAATGATATTTTGTATGAAGTTGCATTACTATCAGTACATATCAGTTTGACAACTAATTTGAGGCCCTGACCCCTAGGACATGGTCCAGTGACTTTGAATTAATTAGCAATTTTCAATGTTCAGTTTTTCTGTTAAGTCAGCTTGATAAGAATTACTTGTGATAGATCACTGATATTGTTTATGAAGTTGCATTCCTATCAGTACATATCAGTTTGACAACTATTTTGAGGCCCTGACCTCTAGGACATGGTCCAGTGACTTTGAATTAATTAGCAATTTTCAATGTTCAGTTGTTCTGCTTAAGTCAACTTGATAAGAACTACTTGTGATAGATCAATGATATTTTGTATAAAGTTGCATTACTATCAGTACACATCAGTTTGACGACTATCTTGAGGCCCTGCCCCCTTGGACATTGTCCAGTGACTTAATTAATTTCCAATTTTCACTGTTAAGTTTTTCTGCTTAAGTTATATTGATTGGAAACACTTACAATAAACAACAATATTTTTCTTTGTTTATACTGTCTGTATTATATTTATATTAACGCCTGTACATCTCAGTTTTTCAACCATTTTCAGGCCTTGCCCACTAGATCATAGTCCAGTGACTGAATTGATAAGCAATGTTGCTGTCCATCAGATTGTCTTTTTCTGAATTTTATGTCGATAGGCGAGACATATCTCTGTGTCAACAGTTTATTTTTTTATCTTAAAATCTGTAGGAGCTAGGTTTAACATGTTAATTGCAAAATTGATCAGCAAAACAAACAGTAACTGTAGAATGTGCATATAAAAGACCTTATTAGCCAACTGGCAATTTTTTCACCAGGTGAGCAATACAGGCACTTGTGTGCCCCTTGTTTCCTTAATCCACAAAAATTGTGCAAATGTAAACATACCTGCCAACTTTTCAAAATCTCTATGGGGATTTTAAGTTCAAGAGGAACTGTCCTCTTATATTGTCATAAGTATTTTTAATCAACTACTATATTGTTTGAAAGAGTATGTATGTGCTTAAATAATGTTTTATTTTATTGCAGTGCCTGCTTTGAGGTGTTGAGTTTAAATGATAAAGAATTTCAAAATTCATGTCAACACCTCTCATTGGGGATTTCCCCTATAAATCTTGAAAGTTGGCAGGTCTGTGTAAGTAATTGAAATTGTATTATTTAGTTCGTTGATTTTTTTATTTTCATAATTTTAGAACCACTAAATTGATTTTTGTTATTCCAGACACAAAGTTATAGCTCCAATCCTACGAGATCTGAGGAAACACAAACCTTTAAATTTCATGGTGACCGATCCAAGATGGCTATGGTACTGGACATTACTAAAACCTTTCTTGATTTATCTGTTCCTCTTGATATTGATAACTATTTTTGATGCAGCGTATGGTGAAGGGTACCAAGGTTTCATAATGATAGTGGGAATATGTTATCTCTTGTGGACAATGTCGAAAAACATCCACAGACTTGATCATATAAGCAGGTGGGTATAGTAAATGGGGGTCAGTGATTACCATGGAAACTTAGAGGAGCATTACAAATATTTCACATACAAACAGCTGTTGAAAGCATTCGAAGATTTAAATATATGTTTAAGATGATAAACAGAGTATTCGTCTTTCAGGCTATTAGATATTATTAAATTGGTTGCAGTATAAAACTTATGATTTCCATGTCAAGTAGACCCCATAATATACCATATGAATTGAATCCTGTAGTTTCACTCCTCTGGTTTATGATCCTAATTGAATTTTTTTATAAAACTACCACCACCATTATAGAAAACCAAAAAGTCAAAAACCTTATTGTACACATTTCAGAAAAGGGAAACCTTTGCTTCAAGTCTCAGTTAATTTTTACATAGAAAGATCGTGTAATGATGCATCTTGAAGTGAAGATTAGCATCCAGTCATTTTCTGCTTCTTTGAATCTGGTTAGTTTTTGTCGAGCCTGCGACTTTTGTCGCAGAAAGCTCGACATAGGGATAGTGATCCGGCTGCGGCTACGGAGGCGGTGGCGTTAGCTTACTTCTTAAAAGCTTTATATTTTAGAAGGTGGAAGACCTGGATGCTTCATACTTTGTATATAGATGCCTTATGTTACGAAGTTTCCATCTGTCACATTTCCATTGTCCTTGACCTCATTTTCATGGTTCAGTGACTACTTGAAAAAAAAGTTAAGATTTTTTGTAATGTTAATTTCTCTCTTATTATGAGTAATAGGATAACTATATTTGATATGTGTGTACCTTGCTAGGTCCTCATGCCCGTCAGACAGTTTTTCACTTGACCTCGACCTCGTTTCATGGATCAGTGAACAAGGTTAAGTTTTGGTGGTCAAGTCCATATCTCAGATACTAGAAGCAATAGGGTAGCATATTCGGTGTATGGAAGGACTGTAAGGTGTACATGTCCAACTGGCAGGTGTCATCTGACCTTGACCTCATTTTCATGGTTCAGTGGTTATAGTTAAGTTTTTGTGTTTTGGTCTGTTTTTTGTCGAGCCTTCGACTTTTGTCGAAAAAGCGAGACATAGCGATCCTACATTCCGTCGGCGACGTCCACAAATATTCACTCTGTGGTTAAAGTTTTTGAAATTTTAATAACTTTCTTAAACTATCCTGGATTTCTACCAAACTTGGACAGAAGCTTGTTTATGATCATAAGATAATATTCAAAAGTAAATTTTGTAAAAAAAAAAATTCCATTTTTTCCGTATTTTACTTATAAATGGACTTAGTTTTTCTGCCAGGAAACATTACATTCACTCTGTGGTTTAAGTTTTTGAAATTTTAATAACTTTCTTAAACTATCCTGGATTTCTACCAAACTTGGAAAGAAGCTTGTTTATGATCATAAGATAGTATCCAGAAGTAAATTTTGTAAAAAAAACAATCCATTTTTTCCGTATTTTACTTATAAATGGACTTAGTTTTTCTGCCAGGAAACATTACATTCACTCTGTGGTTAAAGTTTTTGAAATTTTAATAACTTTCTTAAACAATCCTGGATTTCTACCAAACTTGGAAAGAAGCTTGTTTAAGATCATAAGATAGTATCCAGAAGTAAATTTTTGTAAAAAAAAAATCCATTTTTTCCGTATTTTACTTATAAATGGACTTAGTTTTTCTGCCAGTTAACATTACATTCACTCTGTGGTTTAAGTTTTTAAAATTTTAACAACTTTCTTAAACTATCCTGGATTTGTACCAAACTTGGACAAAAGCTTGTTTATGATTAAAAGCTATAGTATCTAGAAGGAAATTTTGTTAAAATTTTGTTCCATTTTTTCCGTATTTTACTTATAAATGGACTTAGTTTTTCTTCCAGTTAACATTACACACAGTCTGCAGTTTAACATGTTTAAGTTTTTAAAACATTTATAAGATTCATTAACTATCCTGGATTTTTACCAAACTTGGACAGAAGCTACTTACAATCAAAAGATAGTATAGAGAGGAATATTTTTATTAATTTTTTTCCTCATTTTTGTTGAGCCTGCGATTAACAGCAAAAGTAGGCGAGACACTGGGTTCCGTGGAACCCATACTGTATGCAATAGGTCTACTATATTTGGTGTATGGAATGATTGTAAGGTGTACATGTCTAGCTGGCAGGTGTCTTCTGACCTTGACCTCATTTTCATGGTTCAGTGGTCAAAGTTAAGTTTTTGAGTTTTGGTCTTTTTTTCTAATACTATATGCAATAGGTCATCTATATTTGGTGTATGGAAATATTTTATAATGTACATGTCAGTCTTGCAGGTTTTATTTGACCTTGACCTCATTTTCACGGTTCATTGATCAGTGTTAAGTTTTTGTGTTTTGGTCTGTTTTTCTAATACTATAAGCAATAGGTCAACTATATTTGTTGTATGGAAGGATTGCAAGCTGTACATGTCTGCCTGGCATGGTTCATCTGACCTTGACCTCATTTTCATGGTTCATTGATCAATGTTTAGTTTTCTTGGTTAAGCCTGTATCTTAGAAAATATAAACAATAGGTCAACTATATTTAGTGTATTGAATGATTGTAAGGTGTACATGTATTTCTTGTTTGGTTTATATGACCTTGACCTCATTTTCTTGGATCATGTTAAGTGTCTGTGAAAGTTGTAGTAAAGCTTTATATTTAGGACTATCAACATAATATCAATGATTAGTAAAGAAGGCGAGACATTTCAGCGTGTGCACTCTTGTTTACATCCAAGTTCAAATCACAAAAACTGTACAAAATATATATATTCATGTAAACTAATGTGTCTTAATGTTAAACAAATTAATGGTTTTTATAACCTCTCCTGACCCCCACCAAAAAAGATACTGTAAACTCAGAAATTATTGCTAGGTTTTTATTAATGCAAATAATACGACTGGGTGGGTATCGCAATAATAAGAACTCGCATTCTGATAACTGAAACATAGACCTTTATGCAGTTTTTTTTCGAAATCGCAAAAATCGTAATAATTAAACGTGCATTTTTTTTTGCACGCAATAATTTCTGAATTGACATTATTTGGGGCTTACATAAAGTTAAAGCAGGCAGTAACGGTATCTGTCCTGCTCTGCAGACAGCTCTGATTGTTCTAGTTTATTCCTGCTCTTCTGAAACAAATTGTTTACATCTTTTATGCAGAAAAAGGTGATTAAAGATTACCCTTGTTTTAGATTCTACTATTAAACTCCATTGAATAATATCAAAAATGTAGATCACATTTAAAGGTATAGCATAAATATGATGATAATGAAAACACACACGCACAAAATGATCACAGTGCTACAATTCTTTATGTTATTTTTTGGTTTTTCAGAATGCCTAATCCAATATTTGCTGGAGCATTTGGTGCTGGTTTAGTACACACAACTGCACACTACTGGTTATATCTCAGTCCTCGTATCCTTTATTTAATCCAATACATGATGACAGTAAATATAGTAACCAACCTATAGTCAATTATTGTTGTGGGTAGTAACTTTAGTAACCAACCTATAGTCAATTATTGTTGTGGGTAATTGTATGCAAACTGTGTAGAACTTTATTGTTTCAACCAAAAAAGCAAGATGAGTAGAATACTGTGGATTCATTATTATTCGTGAGATACCTATTTTCATGGATTTCATGTATACAGTCAAACCTGTATTAAGCAGTCACTCTTGGGAAGTACTAAAAGTAGCCAATCAAGAGAGGTGACCTTTGAAATGAGGTTCCGGAAAAAAAATATTGAATCCGAGATCAACTATGGTTGAGATTGGGGCAAATTGATTTAGTCTTTTCAATTGATAGAGTTATGGTTCTCGTGTCAATGAAATAAAAAATGGTGGATTCTGGCAATGTAAACGTAAAGAAAACATTCAAATATATTAATATTTGTAGAAATAATCAGTCAAACAGTTTTCAATGGAAATGGAAAGGAGTGGAACACGAGGAATTCACGAATTCACCTATAGCAGAATCTCCGTTGCAAACGGGTTCCGATATTCACTTTGACTTCGGTACTGAACACATATATTTTTCGTCATGATTATTTCAGTAGTTTTAAAAAAACATTAAAATGACCGTTGTCAGAAGTTGAAATGAAGGTTTTGTGTAACAAATAGGTGACCACTGAAGGCGTAAGACAGGTGACCGCTTATAAGAGTTAAATTATATAGAGAATATGTTTGGAAGGGTCTGAAAGTGACCGTTAAAGGCAGGTGACAGCTGAAACGAGGTGACCGTTAAGGCAGGTTTGACTGTACTGTTCAACCATGAATTTAAATGTTTAACAAAGTACAAATTTTTATAGGCTTTTATGCAGACTGTCGTAAAACCACAAAATCAAATATCCATGAAAATACAATTTTTCCTTAATCCACAAAAAATTGGTATCCACAAAAATAAATGAATGCACAGTATCATGTTTTTTTCCCAGTCATATATCATTACTGGTACTATGTTGTTGCTAACTTTAACTTTTTTTTTGTCAAAGTCCATCAAAGTTCTAAATGGATTACCCTTAAATTATCCTCATAAGATATCAGAATCAATGATCTGGAAACGACAATGTTTGGCAGACAAGACCTTATCTGAAACAGAAAGGTCAATGACTAAAATGGTATTAGGGATTTTTTTAAAAAGTACAGAAGTTATTTATATTATTGAGATCAGGTTTATTAATCACCATCTTGCACTAATATTGTTTGCACTGCTTTTCTGGTTATAAAACTCTCACTCAGTATTGTAAAATAATCCAAGGGGCTCTCAAAATAAATGTTTTTTTATGCCAAGGGCAATATTTGCTAATGATCACTATTTTTTTCACACCAGACAGGAGAATATATTGATCAAGTTCAGATTGGTCACTTCATTATATAGTAATGTTTCAGCAAAGGCTATTGACAATCTTAACATGCTAAATTGAACAAGTGAAACAAGTATTGGTCATGTTTAAACAGTTTTACAGGATATTATATTGAAATGGTGATTTCATGCCATCAAATCCAGTACATGTAGAAGAATCCAGTTTCATATATAATTTATGATTAACTTGAAACCTCTGTTTTTGTTTTGTTTCATAAAATCAAAATTAGCATGGTTGCTATTTTAAGTCATTAAACTGATTTTAATTCTAAAGCCTTACATTTTTTCTACAAATCTTCTGATATGAATTTGACAGTTCAAAAACAATTATCCTAACTTCAAAGTCCTCTTAAAATGACTGAAACTGTATAAATATTTTTCCAGACAGTTGATCAGAATGCTAGTAAAATCATGATTGAAAATATAACACAGATTTTTTTTCTGGTTAAAGAATCTTAGTTATTACTGAAAGTTTAGGAATTAATGTGTGCATTTATTATTGAGAATCCTTGACCTCCGGACAAAATGTGATATCTGATTAATGCTATTGCAAAAATTGGATGACGGAACATTACTACTGAAATTATGAATGATACGGTCGCATTATTCACATTAATGAAAACATTGCAATAATTTCTATATTAAAAGTATGTAATAGTTAAAAACCTGATAAGACAAAACAATTCTCATCTGAGTGTTGATAATTACAACCACATATCATCCTTTGACTATTTTGGAATACCATTATCTTACCAAATGATTTCTATAACCAGGTTCTTGCCAGAATAAAGGAAAGCATTCTCATGTGCCTGATTTAAAGTATTGATAAGGTGAATTCATGGATCTCAATTATCAGGTTTTCTGAACAATGATATTGTAAAATATCAGCCAGGAGCCACATTGTGAACCTTTTTTGGCAAGTGAGCGAAAAGCCTTCACATTGTGTCAAGTGGCTGAAAATCCAATTATTTGTTTATCATACGATTTCTGGTCTCCGCAGCCATTCTAAGAGAGTTTTACGATTGACAAAAGTAAGCTTGATAACGTCTCCTCACACATTGTGACATCACTTATAACTTCTCCTCAGTCATTGTGATGTTGATAACTCCTGCTCATGTCTCAGAGTCATGATATGAGAATTATAGAGAGACTAAGAAGGGTGATATATGTGAAAAAAGGATGATAATTGCTTATGCCACTGTATCAGTGCCTATACATGTCAGAATTTATTATAACAAAGTATCAATAAAACTTTAACAAATTATTTCAATAATTAAATTAGGAAAAGATCTTGTAATCTCCAAATAAAAATATAGGTTTCCAATATTGCAGAAGTCAATCATTTTAGTGTGTCTTTTTGTAATTTGCTATTTATTAGATGATTATTTTCATATTCTGAATTTGTAGTTATTTATTCATGGTAACATAAACTTTGACCTTAACCTTTTGACAGTTACTGGAAATTACACCACTTTAAGTATACTGTCTGTAATACTAATGATAATTACATATTATATGTATTATTTATTAATTACCAGAAATCCAGGTAAGCAGATGATATGTATCTATGTAATCATACAGAATTTGGCTGTTTCAGAATCTAATGCATTCTGGGTAATATTTTCAAAAGGGTACATCAAGACGTTGTGATTGGTTTAAAACATCCTAAACAATGGAAATTCAATCATTGATGTGATATAATGTTATTTTCACTTTGGTGAATAATCAATGAGATTACCCATAGTCTTTTAGATTCTGAAAAGGCCAATTGGTATACAGTTGTCTTATGGTCTGGAGTTTCTTTTTTGCATATGTCCATTGTCTTTGAACTTATTTTCATAGTTCAAATTCAATGACTGCTTATAATTATTATTATTATTATGATTTGGTCTGTTTAATTATTCAATGTTAAGTTTCCTGATTAAATCAATTTCTCAGATAATATTAGCAATAGTTCCACTATATTTGGATTATAGATTGATTGTAAGGTGTATTTGTCCATTTGACAGGTTCATCTGACCTTGACCTTATTTCAAGATTTTTACTATTTTTGTGATTGCTCAGATACTTTCTGGTAAGCAATCGGTCAAGTATATTTGTTATAGATAGCCTTTGCCAGATTTGTATTACCTTTATGGAACTTTTGGTTTTCTACACTCTTCAATATAAAAATGTGGAGATGTGGTATGATTGTCAATGAGACAACCATCCACCAGAGTTAAAATGAAGTGGTAGTAAGCAATTGTAGACCACTGTATTGGCCTTCCAATTATTTTGATTTGGGAGTTACTGATATTAAGTCTTGGTTAGAAGAAATGGCATCTTGCGTACAAAATTATAAGCCTGGTATCTTTAATAAAACTTTATAGAATGAAGTTAGTTTGACAGAGTTCATCTGACCTGTACCTTTTTTTCATGGTTCATTGGTCTAAGTTAAGTTTCGTGATAAGGTAAGTTTCTCAGATACTATTAGCCTGGGATTCTGGCTCACTTGTTTGACAGTAGAGCCAGGTGGAAACATTATTGTTTATTGGATGTAAGAATGATGCATTGTGGGATAACATCATTTCTTAATACATGGCAGGAAATGTTTTTATAGCCATGAATTTGTTGAAATTATTTTTAAATTCATGCAAAATGCAATTTTCATGAAGAATACAGCAATAATAATCTAAACCTTACTGGTTTGGTCAATGGTTCAGTTATGATCCAATCAATATATTCATTGTTCATTCGTCACAATCTAAAGTTAGATGTAGGGAAGCAGATTCTACTTAGGTTTACCAATTGATTTGATTATATAACATGCACATGCACAGTTATTCAGTCAGGTTCCGCACTGAAAAGTGGTCTAGTGTATTGTATGATGCCTTGCCTTACTGACATGAATAGGAGGTTTGGCCAGGATGCCAGGCTATGATATCAGTAATAGGTCAACTATATGCTGTGTAAAGCAGGTCTTACTGCAACCATTTAGGGTTTGACATTAACTTTTTAACAGCTTGACCTGGGCAAGCCACCATGATTTATAACTTGTCCGAAAAAGTTATAAATTTCTGTGTCGACTTCTATGCCCCCGCTTACCCTTGTCCATCTGTACATCCATATGTCCAGAAATTGGTTTCCATTCTCTAACTTTAGTTTGCCTCAACCAAATTTTCTTAATTTATACATAATGCTTATAACCACCAAACACAGATCATGTTTGAGTTTGGGTGGCGTCACTTTTCACTGTTCTTGAGTTATGTCCCTTTATAAATGGAAAAAATCGGCAAATTTACTGTTTCTGCACTCTTAACTTTACTTTGCCACAAAGAAATATTCTAGAACTTATATACAATGCTTATTACTATTAAACACAGATTAAGTTCCCATTTTGGGCGGCGTAACTTTTTCCATTCTTGAGTTATGTCCCTTTATAAATGGAAAAATTGGTGAATTTGCCATTTCCATACTCTAACTTTACCGGTATTTTGCCTCAACCAAATGTTATGAAACTTATGCACATTGCTTATTACCACTAAACACAGATCAAATTCAAATTTGGGTGGTGTAGCTTACAATGTTTTCGAGTTACCAGATTACTGTTTATTATTGAACAATGAGAGCACTCCAACACCCAAGCAATCTAATGACAACATACAGAAACAAATGTCATTAAGTTTCAAAGAAAACAAAAAGTCAAAAGGTATTAATTAGTAAATTGACCTTGCATATTTACAAGCAGGGGCACCTGTGTCCAATGGACACATTCTTATTTTATTACTTGTCTATTTTGTCATGAAATATTGTTTGTCCTGTACAGTATTTACAAATAATCCAATCTACACTATCTATTTCCATCAAAATATATTTCCAGGATTCAATAAATCTTATATTCCTCTGTTTCATAGTTTTATTATTTTGTTTCATCATTTTCAGCTTTCAGTTTTTCCAGCATTTCCCCCAAAAACGTCCCAGAGTTAGCTATAGTGCAATTTTAAATCACAAAGGCTCTGGAATTATATTTTGGAACGAAATTTGCTCTTTCCAATAAAAAACAGTGGGAACACGATAATTTTCCTGGACCCCTGTGTTTAATCTGGGATTGATACTGAAACTGAAGTCAGATATTTTTGACCAACAGAAAATATTGCTTAACATTGAGAAAGCTCATAAATAAATATCAGGGTTAAATTTATATATATATATATATTTTCTAATCTTTTTTTATTTCACTTTTGTTCAAGGTTTTTAAAATTGACAATATTAAGGAGAATTCGAATTGTTATCAATATTACGTCTCAGATTTTCCTATAATCGCTAAGGTATAATCTGATTGGTTCATCAAAAAATGCATTAACAACAGAATTGTACTCTGTTTGGCCTATATGTTTAATATGCCTATAGTTAGAAATGGCTGTTTGATATGATAGTCTATTGATAAAAAGAGAATTAATCTACATATACTGTATTAATTTTTTGTGCTTTATTAACAACATACCGTAAAAATTAGGATGTGATATCCTGTTTTTTGTCTCGAGACATAGGGATAGTGATCCGGCGGTGGCAATGGAGGCGTTAACTTGTTAATTAAAAGCTTAATATTTCAGAAGGTAGAAGACCTGGATGCTTCATACTTTGTATATAGATGCCTTATGTTATGAAGTTTCTGTCTGTCCATTGTCCTTAACCTCATTTTCATGGTCCAGTGACTACCTGAAAAAAAGTTTTTTTGTAATGTTAATTTCTCTCTTATTATTAGTATTACAATAACTATATTTGGTTTGTGCGTGCCTTGCAAGGTCCTCATGCCTGTCAGACAGTTTTTACTTGATCTCGACCTCATTTCATGGATCAGTGAACAAGATTAAGTTTTCGTGATCAAGTCCATATTTCAGATACTATAAGCAATAGGTCTACCAAATTTGGTTTAAGTAATGATTATTTTTAGCTCAAAGTGAGCTTTTCTCATCACTTGGCATCAGTCGTCCGTAAACTTTTACAAAAATCTTCTCCTCTGAAACCACTGGGCCAAATTTAACCAAGCTTGGCCACAATCATCATTAGGGTATCTAGTTTAAAAAATGTGTCCGATGACCCCGCCAACCAACCAAGATGGCCGCCATGGCTAAAAATAGAACACAGGGGTAAAATGTAGATTTTGGCTTATATCTCTGAAACCAAAGCATTTAGAGTAAATCTGACAAGGTAAAACTGATTATCAGGTCAAGATCTATCTGCCCTGAAATTTTCAGACAAATCTGACAACCTGTTGTTGGGTTGCTGTCCCTGAATTGGCAATTTTAAGGAAATTTTGCAGTTTTTGGTTATATTCTTGAATATTATTATAGATAGAGATAAACTGTAAGCAGCACTAATGTTCAGCAAAGTAAGATCTACAAACAAGTCGCCATGACCAAAATTGTCAGTCGACCCCTTTTAGCAGTTATTGCCCTTTATAGTCAATTTTTAACAATTTTTCGAAAGTTTTTGTAATCTTTTACAAAAATCTTCTTCTCTGAAACTACTGAGACAAATTTAACCATACTTAGCCATAATCATTATTAGGGTATCTAGTTTAAAAAATTTGTCCGATGACCCTGCCTTCCAACCATCATGGCCAACTTGGTTAAAAATAGAACATAGGGGTAAAATGCAGTTTTGGGTTTATATCTCTGAAACTAAAGCATTTAGAGCAAATCTGACAAGGTGGCAAAAATGTTCATCAGATTTAGATTTATCTGCCCTGAAATTTTCAGACGAATCCGACAACCCATTGTTGGGTTGCTGCCCCTGAGTTAGTAATTTTACAGAAATTTTGCAGTTTTTTGTTATTAAGTCTCCCAAACGAAGTTTGGGAAGACTTATTGTTTTTGCTCAGTTCTTATTAAGTCGCCAAAACGGAGTTTTGGAGACTTTATGTTTTTTTAAGTCGCCAAAACTTTATGTTTTTGTCCCGTTTCTTATTATTATTATTATTATTATTATTATTATTATTATTATTCTTCTTAACCCTTATTTTGTTCGACCATTTTCTTCCAAGCCTTAAATGATGGAAACTTTATATTTGGTATGATGATGGGGTAGTATCCCTAGGGGTGCATTCACTATTTTTTATTTCAAATGGGGGTCAACTTGGCACTATTTGGGGGCCGGAACATGGGTGGGGTCATTTTTCGACTATTGATTCGCTACTGGTAGAACCTTTAAGTTTTGTGTAATACAAGAGACCGATGTCCAGGTGTCCATTCCACATTTTTTATTTCAGCCCGTGGTCATCTTGACATTATTTTAGGGGGTCAATTTTCATGGAACATTCTAGAACAATAGTCATGTGATTAGTCATGTGATAGTGTTGGATTATTCCTATGTACTTTTTATGTTATATAATGATAGATTATTACAGGTAGCACCATATGTAGCTGTAATTCGACTTTGGAATTTTTAAAATGGCCGCCGTTACCATGGAAACTGCAAAAATGTGAATTTTTTTTAAAATGCTTCAAATTTAATGAAATTTACAGAGATGTTAACGAGTGGATTTGGAATTTGACTTTGGAATTT